TTGTTTCTGCGGAAATAAAGCAAAGGGACACTAAATATTGTCTTTGCAAATGATGTTTTACCAGCTTTTGCGTTTATGACAGCAAAGCATAAAAAAGATGCTGGGCCTTTTCCTCGATATTATTATATGATCTCTATGTTCGATGTAGACCATCGCGATGCTCGTAAGAGCCATCAATGCAAAGTCCTATTTTTCTCTCCCTCCCGGCTCTGTAAAACCACCGAGCTCCTCAAATACCACAAACAAAGTAGGAGCCCCAGTTCTTCTGAAAAAGCTCCTTCAATAGATGTCGAAGCCTTGTCTATGTTATACTATTTTCAACCGGATATAAACGCGACGTTCAACTTGTAAAACCTCCAATAAGCGAAAAGTGTACGATAGCATCCGTCGTATATTCATTACTTCCATAACATCGTGGCGCCTCGTATCCTAATGTTTCCTCGTTTAAATGTTTCCTTTTTTCTCGCATTACGGTTGTTACATCGTCAAATAAAAAAAGACGCAACAGTTATTTAATTACATGCACGAAGCAAGTAATCTAAAAACCGTACATTCTGTGGTTTCAGTCCACCTAAGCTTATGAGTCCACCATGTCATGTGTTGAAACAAGTAAAAGTCATTGCCAAAATGATTAGAATAGAAAGTGAGTCTATCGCGGGTATCTTCCAGCAAACGTTCGCGCGCCTTCAATACGATTTCTCAATAAATCGCCACTGTGCCCTTTGGACACACTTTGGGGACCAACACATGTTTACGTCCTTGAGTCAGCGTGTAGTGCTGCACCGCAATAAAATGCAAAACGAACACTATAGGCTGGTTCACACTGTTTGTTTTTGCTAGCTTAGGAGGGGGTCACATACCCTATATTCTTATCTTCCTCCAGGACAGACGTACAGAGCCATACCACAACACGCATATCAACGCAACACGCAACAGAGCTATCGCTCTCCTGTTGGCGGTACAGACAACACGACGTAGCTCCGTGGTCTATCGAGGGCATGGCTTTTTGCCCTCGCCCACGCACCTCCGTAGGCGAGGGCAGGGGCGTGGGCGTGCAGCCGCGGCCGTTGAAGACTAGGGAAATGGTCTCGAAGAACCGAGATATGGTATCTTGGGGTGGGGGGTATATAATAATCACGTGCCGTTAGTATACTCTAGTTGCTAATCCAAATAAATGTTTGCAGCTTGTGAAAATATGTTTGCGTGACGATTTACCGTTCGCACTACTGACGGATGTTAGCGAATCCTTCATGTTCGTGGCTCGCAGTTATCGGTACCCCTTCAGATTGACTTCACCATATCTCTCTCTCTCTCTCTCTATATATATATATATATATATATATTGCTTCCAGGGCGTTGTAACAATCACAAACACGCGAGAAAAAAAAAAGCTTGTTGAGTACGCGTGATTTTGGGCTCTAAAGATGCGCGATAAAGGTCCAGCTTGGGGAAAAACCAATCCTTTTTGTTGTAAGTTTGCTTGCAGCTCATTTCCTGTCTGTTTCGTTTATACTCCGTTTCACCGTAATTTGGCAAACCTCAGTTAGAGGTGCTGTGAGGGAATCACAGTCGCGGAACAAAGCACGTGACAGCTACTTTTAGGAGCAGTTCTATGGGACCTGGAGCGCGTTTCCGACTGGTGTGTTTAGCGTCCTATCCCGCTCAAGCATTAAAAGTGGTCCCGCAGTGGCAAAAAATGACGTCACAGAAGCCGGAGTGTCATGCTGTTGTCTGTCGCGGTCCTGGCGATTCATCGTAGAAATGCTGGCGAAAAGCACAAGCGAACGCAAGTGTCCCTGTCGCCATGGCGTCCCAACGAAAAACAATTATGCAATTTTTACGTTTTTGTAGTTCGGTAATTTAAATAACCGTATATTTTTTAAGGAAGTGCAGACATCATAATTAAATAGAGACTTCCATGCTAAAACATGCAGTGCGAAGGGAAGCCAACCACTTTTTTTAATGTCCAAAAAAAGAGGCTATGCAGCATCGTTCGTACAGTTTTTTCTCGCACATTATGTGATGTTTTCTAACGCGAAAGTACCGACGTAGAAACGCTGTAGAGACGAAATGAAAAAAAAAAGAAAACACGTTTTTGAAGTGAACCCAGTCTTGTAGTGAAACAAAAGAAAAAAAATATTTAACGATTTTTTATGGTAAACGCTTCACCTCTAAGTAGAACTTCAACCAAGTGGCGAATACGCGCTTTCATGCCCATTTTAACGAAGTTGGGAGAACGATGTATCGCGTCTTGTGAATACACATGTGGAGCAGCATGTTTATGTTGTAGGCATTGTGTGTAATCGCTGCGCAGTACCTGCCAAAAGAAGATATTATTTGGGCACAGTCTCCGTTTCCGTCTACGTGTGCTACGAATACAGCAACTCTGTTCGTAGAAGAAGTGATGAGGAAATGGCGTGCCCTTGATGATACGATTGTGATTATAAAATTCAATTTTTAATGAACTAATAATTGCGACCTGTCCGGTCGCCTGGAACCCCGACAACTACTATCGTTCTCTGGAAAGTTCATTAGTTTACCTACACCATTTCCCGAATCCAACACAGCGCTTTTCAATTTTAGCGCTGTAGATAGCTCTGCAAACAGTGTATACTTGTGTGCAAATATTCGTCTAACAGTTTCGCAACGTTGGAAAGCATCGGAATGATTCAGAATCACTGCGGAGTTGATATTTGGGAAGACTGGTATTTGGGAAAAACGGACTGTGGCATTTGAGGACAGGGGAACTGCCGCGGGACAAACGTGCTACAATCGCATCAATCCAAGGTCGTCGCTTGGGCGACCGCGTGCGCCCAAGAAACCTTTCTTTTCTTCTTTTTAGTGTGGGGGGGGGGGGGGGGGGGAGGGGATGGGGGGAGGTGGTGTAGGCGCTGATAATCTTCCTCCTTTGTGGCTTTTGACAGACGCACAACGAGACTGGCAGAACTAGCGCATGATTCACTTCTTCCGATGGAGGCGTTCTGTCTGTGTATGCGAACATGATTTTTTTCCCCTTTTAGTAGTTAGTTGTTCTTGCCTTGACTCGGGTCCCAGTGAGTGCGTTGTCATTGTATGCCCACTATTTTTTTTTTTTTTAGTTTATGGTAGTTCTTGCGCTGATGGGGTACCAGGGTAGACGAAAGAAAAAAAAAAATTGTGCCTCGACAAAAAAAGAAAAAAAAAAGAAAAAGAAACAAACAAAAAAAGTTGTTGTTGCGATCAGGAGCGTTTTCAAAGCCCGGAGCACCTCGCCTTCGTTCCCGTGACCATGTCGCTCGCTTTCGCGTAGCACCCCTCAATTCTGAAGGCCACCGTGTTTTTCAGGGAAGGAGGCGATTTTAGGTGCGCGCAGTGTTACCAAAGGTGCAGGATTGAAAGCGTAACCCAAGCACTTGAAGAGAAGGGGAAGAGGAGCTCTCTTTTTGTCGGGACTCTCTTATATGGGTCTCCACGTCGCGATTGTCCTACAATATCAACTTTCATTTATTTCTCGCTCGTGGCTTCCAAGCACGGCGCGCAACTATTGAGATTGGGTATAGTCATAGCTGATTAACCCGGTGCATATTCTAACACACAATAGTTTTGCGAAATCAAGGTTTCGCTGAAATGGATAACTCACACGTGCAGTTCGACGCGCAATACCTTTCACGTATTGACTTGCGAGAGATGCTCCCAACACGGCTGAGTCTGGTGGTGTTCCAGACCTAACATCTACATTTTGTTGCCTTACCTGTTACTATTTCGCGCGCAATTTGCGCCATATCGAAATGAAAGCGCATGATGAAAGTGACGCTTGTTTTCCGAAATTTCACGCCAGCTCGTTGTCTTCGCTGGAACCTTGAGCGTTTCCCAGCGATGCAGACCGTTCAACAAGAAAAAAGCGTACGATGGCATCATTCGATCGTACACTCATTACTTCTATAACACCGAGCTGTCTCGTATCCTTTTGTTTTTCTTTCATGGTACTAATTTCTTTCTGCGCATTACGGCTGTTACGACGCTAAGTCTGGCTGCACCCTCGAATTTCAACTTACCTTATATCAGGGACGGACCAGTTTAAATCAGGAAAATATAATTAACACTGTAGCAAAGTAAATCCATCATATCGATCGGAAATACGATTTGACATATTCCATCTGAACACATACTATGCACAGCGAATGCAGTAGAGAGTAAGCGTGCAAAACGCCGCCACACAAGGCTACCGTAACATCTAAGCGATTTTTGCATAGCACCGAGCACGGAAAAGAGAAAACAGATATTCATTCACATAAACGAAGCAAATTTTTTTAAAGCCCGGACACTCCGTACGTCCAACCTAGCTAAGGTTATTAATAGACTCGACAATGTCATTTGTCGAAACAGATAAAAGACGTTGGCAAGTATGATTTGACTGAATAAGTGAATCTAACGCACGTATTTTACCAACCGACGGTCGCGCGCCTTCAATACCATTTCCAATTGTCACTGCGCACCTTGGACACACTTTGGGAAGCAATACATATTTACATCGCCGCCCGAGGTCTTCATTGAACGTGTAGTGCTGACCAAAAGAAAATGCTAACCTGACTCTCAATCGCTCGCCGCAAAGGACGATTTTGAAGATGCGCTACTCTAAGTCACATGAGATAATAAATAAATAAAAAAAACAAGGTATAGAAACGAGCGTCGTAAAAAAGGGGACCGACATTTTTATTCCTACCTCCGCACCGACCAGTGGACACGGCAACCCAGCCGTGATGATGTCGCCTAATGTACCACTACTCATGCAGGTTTGCACTTGGTGCCTACTCATCGCTTCGGGCCAAACGTCGTCTTCATCGCCTATCGGATATCGCGCTGACATCGCTCATCTGCAGTTGCTACACGTGGCCAACATCTACAGCACACCCTTCACGGGCACGATGACGTCAGAAGAACTTCAAGAAGCAGCGCCACCACTGCCTATAAAGGAAACGCAAGCGGCTGCGGGCGCCAGTGGACACGGCAACCCAGCCGTGATGATGTCGCCTAATGTACCACTACTCATGCAGGTTTGCACTTGGTGCCTACTCATCGCTTCGGGCCAAACGTCGTCTTCATCGCCTATCGGATATCGCGCTGACATCGCTCATCTGCAGTTGCTACACGTGGCCAACATCTACAGCGCACCCTTCACGGGCACGATGACGTCAGAAGAACTTCAAGAAGCAGCGCCACCACTGCCTATAAAGGAAACGCAAGCGGCTGCGGGCGTCAGTGGACACGGCAACCCAGCCGTGATGATGTCGCCTAATGTACCACTACTCATGCAGGTTGGTGATAGAAAACATGTTTTTCACAGCGATTACCTCTGTTTGATTGTGTTGCCGTGTCCACACACAATTGCAGCTTGTGTACGCGATTGTTTCTCTGTAGCAGGCCTGTTGCTCATACTAGCTGGAGATGTGGAGGAAAACCCTGGGCCTATTACGCAAGAAATGTTTAATGATATGATTCGGACACAAAAGGAGATCCTTGCTAAAATTACTGAGGTACAAGTAAAACAGACTTCTTCGGAAGAAAGTATGCTACAAATGCAAAACAGGCTACTTGCGATAGAAAAAAAACTTGAGAGCGTAGGTGAAACTGAGAACAGGCTTGCTAAACTTGAAAACTCTGTTAGTGGCTACGATGTCGAAATAAATACTCTTGTAAAACAAATTGATGACTTAGAAAATCGTTCACGACGAAATAACGTTATCGTAAGGGGAATTAAGGAAGAGTCTTCTGAAAACGAGGATGTACTAATGAGGAAAATCAACAATGAGGTGTTTGACGCTATACTAGGTCAAAAACTGAACTCTATCCAACGTATACATCGACTTGGAAAAAAGATGACTGGTAGAGATCACCCTGTAATACTTACAGTTGGGGATTTTAAAGAGAAAATGGCTATCATGAAAAACTGTGTCAAACTTAAAGGTACCCAAATTAGCATCAATGAAGACTATTCCAAGAGGGTTGTTGAGCTTCGAAAGAACCTGTGGAATTCAACCGCAGAGGAGAGGAAAAACGGTGCCAAAGTCAATCTAGTCTTTGATAAGCTGTGGCTTAACAATGTTCTGTACGCCTGGAATGAAGTCAGCAATGAGAGATACAAGTGTCGCGTTCCACCGGAAGCAAATAACGAGTGACTAAAACAAAATGATTCAGCATGTTTTAAAATATTAAACATAAACGCCAGAAGTATTGCAAACAAGGTTGACGCGTTCGAAAGCATAATGCTAGAGCACGATCCTGAAGTGGCCGTAATTACCGAGACATGGCTTCATGAAAATATCTTAAACTCCGAAGTTACTCCACCGAATTATTCAATAATAAGAAAAGATAGAGAGCGAAGGGGAGGCGGAGTTGCTATTATGATTAAAAATAGCATCAAATTTGAAGTCCTTGAGGAAGTACGGGATGTAGAAGCATTATGGATCAAGACAAAATTGAATAACCGTACAGTTTATATTGGTGGCGTGTACAGAGCCCCGAATTCGCCAGTTGAAATGCTGTTAAAACTAAGGGGCTACATGGATTCCAATTTACGTTACGGAGACAACATTTTGTTACTGGGAGATCTTAATTTACCTGGGATTGACTGGTCATCATATTCTCATGGAACGGCGGGAGTAGCTAGTTGCGATCAATTATTAGAACTTGTATTTTGCTATAACTTATCCCAGGTGGTAACAGATTACACTAGAGTATGTTCAACAACGTCAACAATTTTAGATCTAGTTTTTGTTTCCGAGAGTTTAAAACCATATTTTTCGAAATGTGAAACCGAAGAAGGCCTATCCGATCATAGGATGGTACTCGTCTCATTGAATGCTACCCCAGAAAAATCGCACAGTCATTCAAGAAAGATGTTTTTGGATTTTAGAAGTGCTGATGATGTAAGCGTACTTGATTGCCTTGAACAATCGTTTGATGATTTTATGTTTCTTTACCAATCAGATGCTAGCCCAGACACGTTATGGGACTATTTTTCAAGCATGACGTTACGGTGTATCGAGCGATTTATACCAAAGCGCCCTAAAAAAATCGCGAACAAAAATCCTTGGATTACAAGGGAAATAATCCACGCAAAACGACAACTGAAGCGGAGACGAGCGAGTTCACATGGTACAGGTGTAGAAAAAAAAACTTGCATTCAGCGATTGAGTCGGGAGCTGAGGCGTCTAGTTAGAGAGTCTAAAGAAAGGTTTTATAGTATAACACTTAAAAAATTCCTTAGCGAGGCACCTGAGAAGTTCTGGCGGTACGTCAACCCTTCGGCTAAGTTCCAGCAGCGTGCCTCTGACCCAAAAAATGAAAAGCAGAGCGTTGAAAATTTTAGCACTTTTTTTTCATCCGTTTTCACCAACGATGATGGAAATTTGCCAAGCTTTAGTGATTCTTCCAACAATCCTCCCATCAATAACTTAGATATAGGTGAGCAAGGAGTTTTTAACCTTCTACTTAACATCGACTCAAAAAAGAGCCCAGGTCCAGACGAAATTCCGAATGAATTTTTAAAAAGGTATGCTGAGTGGGTTTCTAAATACCTTACTATCATCTTTAGATTGTCTATGAGTAGCGGTTCTTTTCCCAGCGCTTGGAAAATAGCAAAAATTATTCCCATCCACAAGAGCGGTAGTGTTAATGACGTCTGTAACTTTCGCCCCATTTCCCTTACTAGTACATGCTCAAAGCTCCTTGAACATATCATATCTAAACATCTACTGGCTTACCTTGAAAAATATGACATATTATTTAAATCGCAGCATGGTTTCCGCAGAGGTCTTTCCACGACTACCCAGCTCATAGAAACTGTTCATGATCTCTCTCAAAGGATAAACTGTCGTGGTCAAACTGATGTAATATTCCTAGATTTCGCAAAGGCGTTCGACAAAGTATCTCACCCCAAATTGCTATTGAAAATCAGTGCTGTTTTTAAGAATCCAGCCATCACGAAGTGGTTTTCCTCTTATCTTTCATCACGGAAACAGTACGTTAAAGTTGGGGGTAGCAAATCCACTATGTCCCCAGTTGTTTCAGGCGTACCCCAGGGCAGTGTCTTGGGTCCTCTTTTATTTTTGATTTACATTAACGATCTGCGCAATGACATCTCGGTTCCAATCAGACTATTCGCCGACGACTGTGTGATTTACAATAAAATTGAAACATCGGCTGATCAAGTCGAATTAAACTGTAACTTAGAAAAAATTAAAAAGTGGTGTCAAAATTGGCAAATGGTGCTAAATCCTGAAAAATCTGTCTTCATGTCTATTACGAGAAAAATAAATGTTTTGGCTTATAATTATTGCATTGCGGGTGCTGAGTTGGAGAGAGTTAAAGAACATAAATACTTAGGCTTAATATTTACTCCTGATCTAAAATGGAACACTCACATTGATAACGTATGCATCAAAGCTAATAAAGCACTGTGGTGCCTTCGACGAAACCTCGCTATTGCAACTCCTGAAATAAAAAGTCTAGCTTATAAGACACTGGTAAGACCCGTCATCGAGTATTCTAAAATTGTATGGGACCCATATACCGTCACAAATTGCAATAAGCTGGAGAAAATCCAGCGACTCGCATCCAGGTTTATTTTTAATAAATACAGCCACGTTCATTCCCCCACAAAACTATGTGAACTTGCCAATCTTCCTACATTTGAATCAAGAACGAAGTATGAAAGGTTAAAGTTTCTTTTTCAGATTATTCATAATTGCGTAAAAATAAGGAAATCCGAGTACTTTGAAATTTCCTCCACCGAATCCTCAAGACATCGTCATAGCATGTACATTCCTAATCCATCTGTTAAAAACGATTGCTTTAAGTACAGTTTTTTTCCGAGGGCTATTAAAGATTGGAATATATTACCTGATTCTGCTGTGTCATCTATGTCGCTAAATGAATTTCTGGACCGTGTCAGTGATATTATTGTATGTGCTACAAACTAAAACCACTACAGCTTGTGTAAAGAAATGTTTCACAACTACGAAGTGATATTCGTTTCGTAAACTGCCGAAATGACGAAGCCTCTCAATATGTCTGTAACCTTTGTGTATGCTTGCGTGTAAGCGTACATGTTTGTTTGTTATTGTCCTTTTTTTTTCTCCACCCCTGTAATAGCCCTGTGCAAGGGCTGACAGTATCAATAAATGAATGAATGAATGAATGAAGCGAGCGCCACCCACTGCATCACACAGCGCAGAGGCCGGACTCGGCCACCGCGCGTATTACCACTGATATCCGATGCTATGCACACTGAGCTGACTGACCGCAGACATACCAAGCGCGCGCGAGGGAGGGAGAAACTTCCTCCGCCGGGAACACACGACACATTTTGGGGATCTCTTTCACGCAGCGGATAACGCGGGCCTTTTCGCACTTCGATACTGGCGCCATCTAGAAGTTGCTCGTTCAACCAAGTTACGATCCGCGCGCCATCTGGTGGCTGAAACGGTCGAATAAATAGAGGTACCGCGCCCTCTTAAAGGGATACTAAACCAAGGAATTTGGTGTCCATAATAAGTGGCGCACGTTCTTTCCACGAGCCAGCAGCCGCCGGTGTGTGCGAGCACAGGCAACAAAAATGACGTCACAGACCTCCATTCGTGGTTGAGATGACAGTGAAATGTATGGGCTTCGGACCAAAGGAGAATAAAGACAAGTTTTTCATCTACACAGTGGTGCCTGGTGTAAAACGTAAGCCATGAATTGGTCTAACAAGCACGTAGCTTTCACTTGTAGAGATGAAAAGCCTGTCTTTATTCTCCTTTAGTCCGAAGCCCATGCATTTCACTGTCATCTCAACCGCGAATGGAGGTCCGTGACGTCATGTTTGTTGCGTGTGCTCGCGCACATCGGCGGCTGCTGGCTGGTGGAAAGAACGTGCGCCACTTATTATGGGCACTAAATTCTTTGGTTCAGTATCCCTTTAAGGACCACAACGCCAAGAGCGGCAACGACAGGTACGCATTTCAAGTCTCCATTTTTATATTTCTTGAATGAGATTTTGATGAAATCTTTCAGCACTGTATTAATCTCGCAGGAAGGATTGGCCATTCCTCAAGGAAATGGATGAAATCTTCGGGCGAAGGCCGGAGGGGGTCCCTCTGGCTGTTGCAAGCACCTCAGCTGGTCTGAGCGTCAGGGAAACCGGAGAGAAGCCGAAGGCGGAGTGCAGCCGAGGAAGCAAGAGAAAGTCGAAACTCTCGTAGTCACATGAGTTGCTGTCCAAAATCAAATGGCGTTAGAAGAAAGGAAAGACAAGGCCCTCGAGGATTTTAATTGTTTTTTTTTAAAGATTTTTAGAACTCAAGAAAGCAGAAAAAGCCAGAGCAGAAGAAGAGCCATGATGTTTGAAACTTTGTAATCTAGATTTTAATTGACGAGCAAAGAGCTGCAATGATGTGTTCACCTTCAATGTTATTTATTTTTGTGTGAGTGTGTGAAGATATGTCACAATGATTAACATGTTCGCGTAACCACGGGATCACAAAGAAATGTGAAAGTTCCAACTAGTTTTTAAATATTAACAGTAAATTGGTGAATACGCAAAGAATAAAAAAATAGGTGTGTCTCCTATTCTTGTTAATAAACATGAACTATGTACATATATACCGGGGCTTCACAGGCTGCGCATGATAAAGTCTCTCTTTGCCTTGTCCCTGGCCTTGTCTGTAATAATATTGTTTTGTAAGTCCGAATAAACGGGGCAAGTAGGGGGACAAAAGAGGAAGAAGAGGACACAGCGCCCAGGGGATCTCAAAACGTTCTACACGTAGTGTTGCTTGTTAACCGGTACGACCGGTACACTCAGGTAAATACTACCACATTGTCGCGACTCGCCGTGGGTGCGTCGTCTTCGTCCGAGGAGGACCCACCGGACCCGCTGGAGTCGCTGTCCGTACCGTCACCTGCGGGTCCATCGTCCTCGGTGTGTAGGGGACCGTCGTAGATGTCCCGCCACTCCATGCACGCGTTGTGCATGACGCAGGCTGCACAATCGTCGTGACGATGCGTTCTGGGCGGCGGGCTTCAATGTACTTGAGACGTCGGAACCGCCCCTTGAGAATCCCAAAGGCCCTCTCTCTAGCCACTCGCGTTGTTGCGTGCTTTGTGTTAGTGTCTGTGCTGCTCAGTTAGCCGGCCGTTGTTCCTGTAGGGGACAAGGAGGCTTTGTCGCAGCGGGTACGCGCCATTTCCGAGCAAGTGGCTGTCGAAGGGGAACTTGTCCGCAGTCAAGATCGTCGGTAGCTCGGACCGCCTGTACATGCGTGCGTCGTGCACGGACCCGGGATCTCCTGCGCTGCAGTGAAGGAACTTCGCCTCGTGGTCGCAGA